ACCGAAATTGAATGTGAGAATTATGAACTCATGACAATTTCTAAGTGACGCTGTGGTTGCACAACGTCCTACTGTCTGGTTTACCCTTTTAGCATTCTGTCAGTAAAGTTATGATGTGGCATCCTCCTATAGCCAAGCTCGAACTCTTCAACTGTAATAGCACTTTCCTGTTTATCTTCCGTATTGAATGCATGGTACCGAAAATTTTAACAACATGTTTTGTCTATTAAAGCAAAGATTTTCATGCTTTGGTATCTGTCGATAATCATGACCATTCCGCCCCAATATTATTAGAATCGTACCTTTCAAAGAAAGGGATTTCATGCGTTTAATTTTTGGATGTAATAGAAGCTACATAAAACCCACGGAAGAAGAATCCTAGGGAGTCGATTACCATAGCTTTAGTTAATAGGCTAGTCTTATTTCGAGTTGCATGCAGCTAAGAAAAAATGTCTGAGAGTAAGCATAAGAGAGTGGTATCTCCTTATCCACTTGGAGCCCACCAGTACTATCATGGTTACCGATTGTAGCGGTTCCAAGTGCTTTGACTGTTAGAGAAACTTGCAAAGGGATGCCACCCTCATCATAATTAATAATGCGAAACAGCTGAATCTACACTAGAAGTTTGTGCAACTTAGAGTGGACAGGGCTCACTGACACCGCAAGACAGCGCAGCGCTTCTCTACCCCGTTGATTTTTGCCAATTCAAAGCTTTGATTAAATGGCCTGTTATTTCTTAAGTAGGTGTAGATCTTCTAAGAAATAAACCCCATCAGTTACTGTGATTGATAATTCGATAGCGTCACTTAACCATGATGATATTTATGATTTAAATCGTTCTGACACCAACACACACACTTACTAGATATTAAAGGGAATTTACTTTGTAATATGGCATTTCAACTCAAATGGAAAGTAAAGTTGAAATGCGGTAGAACAATGAGAAAAGTGATATTTGCGACAACTTGCGGCAAAACGCCTACTGAAATGAAAACGAAAAAAACTTATCTCAAAATGCAGAAACACGTTTCCTTTAATACAGTCAGAAAGAGAACAGAGTAGTAAGAGTCCGAACAAATAAAATAGACCGTGGTGTGGATCATGATTGTGATTGTAACCGAGCAGGAGCGAAAAGAGTACTGTGTACACAACAAATGCGCAGAGTGAGGACTACTAGAGGTCGGCAGTCTCCGCACCATCATCCGATCGAGATTTCTTGGGGTTGCTAACTGCTTCACCACTGTCGGAGGAGCAGGGGTACGGAGTATCTTCATCAAGGAAGGTCTTTGGTTGCTTTAGCTGGACGAGATTGGCTTTACAAGGCTTCCTTCGGCTGGATCCAACTCCGTTCGAGACTGGTCTGCCCTCGAACTGCGCAGTGGCCAAGGGAAGTGGGGAGGGGAAAACTGCTGGAGAGGGAACCATAACGCCATTTACGTCCACAGGAAGGAGAGGTTTAGGGGAAGGAAGAGAGAGGAACGAAGAGACCGCCGCCTGAATGATGTTATTGTTATTGTTGTTGCCATTGGAACAAGTCCAGAGCTTGCCAATCTCATCGTCTTCAGTTGCGACTGCGTCCTTTCCAGCCGCAACTGTAGGTGAAAGAGGCTCCTCCTCGTGATTTACAATCACCTTAAAGAAACAAACGACATGGCTCTATTACTTTGCCACTTCTGTGTTTTTGAAAATAGAGCATATGTATCGGAAAGCATCCAAATTAAATGCAAATTGCCTACTTGGATTACCTTATTCGTTGAGACACCAAGCAAACTGAGAAAAGGTCGCTGCTAATTGTACAACAATGAGTGGATTACTTAAAGACAACAAATGATTATTTGAACTAGAGGAATTTAACCTACTGAAGACATGACCTCTTGGAAGGAGGCGGGTAGAATGGGTGGTGGAACGGCTGGCGTGCAGTCCAAGTGAGCGGTGGAGCAGTGACTGATCAGATCAGCTGAAAGGCTAAACGCCTCTGGACACTGAGGGCACTCGTAGGCTCGTGCGCCCAGATGTGCCCTAGCCACATGTGAACGCATTGCCGCGCAGTGCATAGAGGCTACTGTGCAAGCTGAGCAGGAGAAGAGCTCACCCGCAGCTTGTGGGGTTGCGGAGAGCACCACCATTGGAGTATCCTCCGGTAATCTATTAACCGAGGTACGAAGATGTCGCGAAATTTGAGTTTCAGATGCCGAAGACTCCGATTTCATAGGCAAGCTCCCCGTCATACTAATTTCCGAGAGAGGTTTGATTACAGTACCCTTCCATTTCATTTTCGCTAGCTGGAGGAGGTTTTCATCGTTCAAAAGACTATTATCCTCGCGACTTAAACGCGAACAGTGCATCGCAGCAGCCTTATAACGTTCTGGAACTTTGGCATGAACACCCAAAATGTGCTTCCGAATGTCACCCATTCCATGAGGGGATACAGAATTACACCCGGAGCAACAGAAGAACCGCCTTCCTCTGCGGCGAGTAACGAATACTTTGTATGCAGTGTATACTTGCATCTTTCTAAGGAGAATACCAAAGTAACTAGGAGGACAGTAGCCACGTACAAGAACTTGCAAAGCCGTTTTTGAATAAGGCAAATCAATTATGCGCTCTATGTCTTTTGGAGATTGTTCGTTGAGACAGGACAGGACCACTGATGTGTCTATTGGATCAGAGTCAATGCTTTCTTCCAGCTCATCACCACCGCTGATGCCGCCGTTGGGTGTTGAGTCACTTAATGGGTGGAATGCAACGGGAAGACTCAGTCGACTATTGATTATCGGCTTCTCATCTTCGGAGTTATCTCCCGATAGATCCGCCAGGGGGCGCAGGGGTGGGAGAGATCCCAACTTCGAACTGCCTCCTTTTGAGGGCGAACGATGCATATGTGGTGTGGAAATTGCGTCGGGACTGTTAAGTTTGATAGGTCGATCCATAGCCAACCGATGCAGCATTTCGTCTGGATAGAGCTGGAAGCCATTCTCGCGACTGATTCTTGAGGCTTGACAACAAATTGTAATGTATTCGTGAGGAATTCTTGCGTGCACTCCCATTACATGGCGTCGGCTGTCAGCTAGGGTTGCGGCTCGCATCTTGCTATCTGGCTGACGCGTAGTCACAAAAAGTCGTCCACAAGAGCATCGAAAGGCCAATGTCCGATCACCCTGGCATATACGGGTCATTGTCTTGGAACTGTACACCTGCATCTTGTTACACATCTCTTCGACTTGATGTGGGAGTGCACCCGCATTTTCTAATAGCTGGCGAAGAACGGGTTCAGAATATGGTAAAGGAAGATCTAAAATCTGATTCGCACCTTCTAAACCTGGTATCTTAGGCAGGTCTGAAAGCTCAAGTGATGCACTGTTAACTGAACCAGAAGCATTCAAGAAAGAGTTCGACGATGGAGATGTTGCATTTTCTCCTGGTGGGACGGGTCCCCGAATGCGCACCTTGACAGGGTTTTTTGAGCCAGGAATCATTGTTGTAAACCTAGAGATCCCGTTTTCATCTGGTTCCCGTGGAGTAACTAATGGAGCTTCTGGAGATGGTGTACGACTATGTGGACGTTTGTTGCTAGTTCCACTGCTGCTTGCTTCACTCTCAGCGGACTCTACTTGTCGTCGCGTAAGAAATTCCTGGGCTAATCTTGCCAATTTCTCATCAGACAAAAGGCAGAAGTCAACGTGATCCAAACGTGAAGCCTGCAAACAGAACCGAAAGTGTTTTGTCGAAATACCGCAGTGGGAGCCCAAAATATGCTTGCGTACATCTGCCAAGGCATGTGGAGAGGAATAGTAACAGTGGCCGCACTTGTACCGCTTAAGACCCGCTTTGAGTTCGTAAATAGCCGACATTGTACTATACGTACGCATTTTTGTAGCTATGTATTCACGCGTACTCTCAGGAAGGCCTTCTGTAAGACGTCTCAAAATGTTGATGGAATAAGGAAGAGGAATTTTTCGAACACCCGGCTCGATTTCCTTTGGCCGCATCCGTCTCATCGCCGCTTGCTCCTGCTTGTCGGAGAAAGCAGTCTCCATCTTAGGGAAACGCACAAACCGCAGGAGGTCCTTCAAATGCTCCCTTGGTGCACCCAAATGAATGACTAGCAAATGTCGCTTGAAATCTGGTAGCCCATAGGAAAAGACTCTATCACATTCGGGACACTGTGGTACACGACGATGATTTTCCTTCCCAAGAATTCGAATCACGTAGGAAGAAAATTTGTGCATCTTTTCCGCCAACTGACCAATGACTTCAGCTGAGAGTTGGCCAGCTAATTCGCTGCGAAACTGCACTTCATCGAATGGAAAGGAGACCAATTCCTCCTCCCCTGTCCGCCCAGTACGGATCACCTCCTCTGCGGTTGTTGTTGAGGAGGTTGGTGTATTAGGAGCCTCGTCGAAGCCATTAGAGTGCAATTCTGTGTCTGTACCCACCTCTGCAGCGTCATTCTCAACGACTTCGATAGGAGGTGGTGGCTGCGGGTTGTTCATGGCAAGGCCAGTAAGGGCAGCCGCCATGGCCGCAACGGCTTGTAAATTGGAGGGTGTTAAAAATATGTTGTTAGTAAATAGAGAGTTATCCGCCCCGGATGCCTTCGGACTGGGCATCTCTGTCTTGACTAACGGAGCAATAGCAGTACCAGCATCAGTTTGTGCATTTGAATGTGAGGGGGGGAGAAGGCTAGAAAAAGCTGAAAAAACACTATCCGGTGGCGGATTTTGAGATGCCAATGGATCGACTCCACTAAGAAGTGTGGCATCAAGATCGGGAGGTTTTTCGCATCCATCCGATTCCTTTAGTGTAATATTGGTTTTGCAGCAATTTTCGACAATCACGGATGCCTGCAGAGGAAAAGATAAGACTGAAAGTTTGGTGCATCAGTGAAATCAATTTAATTTGAAAATAAGGCTTTGGTTCACAAACGTAAAATTCTAGAAGTTCACGACGAACTGCGAAGGAACTGATTATCGAAGTAGAAGAAAAGCTGATATACGCAAGGACAGCGATGCTCAGTTAATTCGGCATGAATTGGTTTGCTAGTTTTGCGGCAGTCCAATGTCATCCATAAAGCCTTTTTTAGTGATTTCGTCCGCCTTTACTAATCAGAATAGATCATTGTATGATAGTTGATAGAAAAGAAGAAATTGAACATGAGAGAGTAGATGAAAGGTGAAATGGGAGGGCCGAAAAGGGGAGGTGAATCAAACATTACTAACTAGCCAGACAAGATCACTTACTTCATGAATAAAGGAGGAATGAAAGTGCGACCATGACTGATTGCCAACTTGACTGATTTCTGTCCATATGCATTTAATGCGCTAGCGCAACGTGCTTTACTATCAGAGACAAGGTTAAAAATGACAGTAACCTATTAATGCCTACTTAACTAAGGTGGATGTAATCAAAGAAGGTATTCTACGTTTTATTAGAACAACGAAATCCATCAGGACAGGTGAGCTGGTAAATGCAATGAGATCACGGCTCAAAACGAACAGCGGTGGACGTTCATTGAAAGTAAGTAGCTCCACGAACGATTTCAATATGGATGGCTGCCTACACACTGGACTACTATTGCAAGGTCACGGTAAGCCGAAGAGCTGTCCTGAGATTGGTGACGTCATCACTCGGTGGAGCGGTATGCTGAAAATGTGATTTGCCTTGAAGATGCCATCGTCAAAGCAACGCCTAACCAGTGTATGGACCTCAAGCTTCATGTCGAAATGCGAAGCTTATCTAAATAATGACCAGCAGCCATGTTGATCAAAACAGGGCTCCAATCTACTTAACATTTGACTACTTTCGCTGATCTCGTAGATAACAAGATAACCACATTCGTTTATCGTACAGGGCAAACCAGAGAGTAGTGCCGCACTACCGAAGATATCATAAGTATTAGACTAGTCTTTCAGGTCTAGGGGTATGTACTGTATACAAGTAGGTCATGCACAGCAGACGTCCAAAGGGAAGGAGAACGAGGGCGACGTGACGCACACTAACGCACCTAGGCGGATGCGCATGGGTGCGCGGGTGCGAACGTAAACGCATGCCCAGCGCGCTTAAACACACCCACAAAGCCAGGGAACGGGGCGAAGGTTTCAAGAAACCCAGCAGATATTGCATGCATTCGGCTACCATTGGCTGGCAGACACCACCGACATCCTACACCACCATTCTCAGCGCGTATGCGCGCGCGACGTTCTCGATCAATGCTTCCCGACCGCGCCTCTTCTACGCGATGAGCGTGGCCACGCACGGTGCGCTCGTCTTCAACACCAGCAAAGAATGCTCCATCAACACTGGCAAATGGATATCGTGCAAGAGAAAGCCGATGAACTGAATTTTCTTGCCGGATCCGATGCTAACGGTTGTGGGTGAACTGTTCCAAAAAATGCGATTTTAGTCCTTCATAGGCATAGGAAGGTTTGTAGTAAAGGACCATGGGGAACTCTGAAATTTAATCACACAGAAGGAGTGATTTGAAATCGAGAGGCAATACGCTGAACTGATATAGAGAATGAGCTCTACTACGACACCAACGAGGCATAATCTCCCCACAAATGGGTTCCATGGTGTACCCGACAGTTAGAAATCGGAGTACTGCAAGTCTATTAACACCTCCTTCAGGTAGCGATGTCGGCATTAACAATACGAAAATGGATCACTTGAGAAAGTTCCAAGTCAATGCTGCAAGTGTGCAGGATGAACGAGGAAAGCAACTGGAGATAATCAAGGAGAAGCTACTGTTAGTACCGAGCCTCACGAGAAAATCATTAAAGAAAGAGGATTTCTATCAGCGGGTGACGTTTGGTATCAGAGGGTCTTGACTTCATCGTATGCTGGTTGCTATAGGTAATAACATGCGCTAGAGCCTGCTTATAGAGGATGAGAACAGTTAGTCTGGGAAAATAGCTGCTACGGAAGAGCCGAAAACAAAGCTATCATTCATCGTGCCAAGGAAGGAACGACCGCGTAGTTGAAGCGAACAACCAACGCGGATGCACGTACACACACCACATCACACACCCACACAGCTGTGCGCACGGCGTGCACAGGTCTTCCTCCGTGCAAAGAATGACGAGTTGGCGGCTTTCGAGACGTAGGCGTGTTCATTGGTCGTGGCTGTAGCGCTTCTAGCCGAGAAAATGCATACGTCCAACGCGTCGATCAATGCACACGCCCTCTCTCACTCTTGCGCTTCAATGGAATAGTGGATTCACGCGCGCACGCGCGTGCCTACACAGGCAAGTGCGTTGAAGTGGGTGGTTGGGACGAAGAGGATGCAGAGGTAGCGAAGCGGAGACAAACTCCGTTTGCTTCAGTGATTATGACTAGAAACACTTCACCTCTTAAGTTAACGAACTCACTGAAGGTGAAAGTTGGACCAGTGATCGATCATTTTGGTCACAACGAAGCAAGTGATAGACTTCTGAAAGTTGTTTTCTCTCAAAAGTCGGAATAAAGTGGTGGGAAAACCTAGGCGAGACTTCTATTCCTTAATTATCATCAGCCAATGAACATGTTACAGAATTCTACAAACCCCTAACAGATTAGCGCCACGAAAAGTCCCAACCAAGTCTGCACATCAACATCTATTAGATTGAATTATTCCTCTGCTCTTAAAATATTAACGCTTTAATCTGACCTCATTTGGGTGGAAAAGTAACCACTTCTGGAAGAAAGACGAGTCAGCACATACGGAGAAGTCAAGAGAGACTATCATGAAGAGTAGGCTAGAAGAAAACGGAGCAGAGACGCTGGGTCATTCAAGGAAGAAGCTGGTCCATAACTCTCATTGGTTGTCCGCTACACTTCAAGTACTGGACGCGTATGAACACACGCACATTGATTACTAGCCAGCATCTCGGTATTCACCGCCAATCGATGCCCGCCGTCTTTGCTTCGGTGGAATTAGGCTGACGCGCACGCACACAACAGCTGCTGACGCTGCCGCGCGAGCGAAAGAACTGTCAGGAGCGCGCGTAGCCTGAGACAACTTGCGAGGGCGTGCGCGCACACACCAAGTCACGAAGACGACGAGAACGAGCCAGCGAGCAAGCGGGTGAGCGAACTAGCTACCTCGTGAGTGAGCGCACGAAACAACTCGAATGTATGCGAAGGCGACGGCCACTGGGTATCACATTTCACATGAGTTGAAACATTCGCTAGTGGCATGGCCTTGCATAAAATCATTCACATCTTAACTATGACACAGACTAATATAAGATCAGACAAATGTGCCAGTCTAAAGTAGTGTTAAGTGAGAAAATGATCTAGAAGAGTGCAAATCCTACCCCAATATGCTGTCGCCGACACCAAAGTTGGGCGCAAATTAACACTTCAATCGTGACCTCCCAAGGTAAGAGGTAGTCCACCTTATTTTTGCACAAAGGCGTTTGTCCGGCTTTTTTTCACAAATCCAAAGTTATCGCACATACACAGCGCGTCTAGTCGACGTGATTCACACGCACACCCAGTCGCCAGATGGCCTTAATTCAACCGACGCAACGACTTGCACTGACGGAGGTCCGTAATAGATCAATAAAGGCCCAATGCCAAGATGTGAGGAATCAGGATGCTCCCGATTCAAATGAAGGACTCAGAATAATTGAGGTTTTAAGATGACACCATGAAGGGCTTATTGTTTTTGGTTCAAAAAAATGAACAACCTTGAGGATGTTGTTACCAAAGCTAGAGAGTGGACAATGCCTAGACATTACCTATGCTTGGGTGAACAAGCTATGAAATGGACGCTCGCTTGAATCATGACAATAAGTAAATAACAATAACATTTTTTTACCCAAAATAAAGGCAAAATATTGCCGAAAAATAGTAAGATTGGGAAAAAACTAACCTGTGTATCATGCACCGCCAGAGCATGCTCTTCAATGAGGCCCTTCTCTGTGGAGACGGTGGAGCAAGAAGGACACCAGTAGAGATGATAGGAGATGCTAGTGTCGATGCAGAAGCTTAAGTGAGTCTGGAAACGCGACCAGTTAGCCGTGGCTACCTGACACTTAGGACAACGGAGGCAAGGGGACACGCACTCAGTAGGTTTCCTCGACGTCGTCGTCGAGGCGATGGAGGAGATGGCAGGCGGGGTCGAAGTTGACTCACTTGAAGTTAGGACTTGAGGTTGCACGGGTTTTTCAAAGAGGAAAGAACGCAAGAAGGAGGGCACGTGTCCCTCGTATGCGCAGATGAACTGGAAAGAGACAGGAATCATTCGAATATTACTTAAACACGAAGTGACATCCTTATGGTTGCATGTGTGTTGGCACTATGAAAAATATCAAAGATCACGTAGTTATTTGTTCATTGATTCCACCTCAGAAAAGCCTAAATTTCTAGCATCTTCGAGGATTGAAATTATATAAATCACAGGTAGGCAAAGGGATGATGGTCCCTTTTGCCAACTCGCATGCTTAACTAGCAAATCCGCTTGAGAATCTAACGGGAAAATACAGAAGCTCTTAGTTGAAGTGAAGTATGGATTCCTCATAAAACCTAAAGCACCCGAAACAAAGCACATCGTCATGAGAGAAGTAGTTGGGTTGAGCAAGGACTGCCATTGATCGTTCTGAATGGAGGCAGAGCCACCACAATCTCCCGTTGTCACATTACCGAGAGCGCATATACGATGCATCGATTGGATCCAGCGTGCATGTGCGTGCTGGTTTTATGGAAGGTGAAGGCATAGCTTAAACTGACAGATGCCTTATTCGGCTTGGTACTATTTCGCCAATTTATGGCAAAGGCACGCTATCGCAACCGTGGTCCCATGATGAATGACAGTGTGGGAATTAGGAAGAATTAGGCGCAACAATGGCGTTGGTGAGTTTTGCAGATGAAGTGCATCAAAACTACTTCTCGACATATGGAGGTAATGACTGAGAGACCACCGTGCCGCGTGGAAGAGTTTAAGTTTCAACATCAAACCAACTCCGCCTAGCGAACGAACCGCCAGTACTGACATGCACAGCCAATCAGCAGATTGAAATTGAACAAGGATTTGATAGTGAGCTACTCAGAGAAGGCAACGCCTTTTGAAAAAGCAAAAGTCTCAAGAAGTGAATGCAGATTTGTAAAGGTAACTAATCCGAAGAGACCAGTACTTTGATAACACAGACCAACAAACGATGCCCAAGAAATGGACTGGGCTGACGCTTAGAAATCGACAGCGGAGGCAGAGATAGAAAAAAAGGCTATAAAAGGAGAAAGCGAGTTCATGCAAGAGTATCTGCAAGTTGTGCGCGAATATGCAATCTTGAGTACGTGCAGTGCTGAAACAGGTGCAAGATCAAGTGTGTGTACACGTAAAGGTCCTGAATTATGCAGGGTGCCGACCGCATAGCCTCGCACGCAGTGTATCCATCCATACCAGTGTATTTATGCGAATGTGCGCACACAGGTGTTTATTCATGCTAATCGCCTCGATGTCAACAGACCAGGTTGTCGAACTATGCCAAATAATTCAAAGGAAATTAACCCAAGGCTGGACGTAAGAAGCAGTTCTAACAGTTATCACATGTTGCAAGAAATATCTGCGGTTTCGAGGTGGTTTTGAAATCATGGGTTACAGATCAGCTTATTTTCCTGGTTTCACGAATTTCACGAAAATCGAAAGTGGAAAATGAATGAACCAAATTTATGGTAGCTATGAAGTGATAGAGGAACCACAGTGGTTTATTTAGGAAACAAATTTATCAGGAAAACTAAATTAACACACTTGCCCAGATCGCATAAAGTGACCAAGGTCGATATCATTGTTAGTGCAGTCGATGCCATAAGATAGGTACGTCAATTAGAAAAAACCCTACTATTTAGTGCAAGCTGCCGGGCAGAGCCATCGAAATTGAAGCCAGTGCCGCCACCATTAAGTAGAGCTAACGGACACCAGCAGCTAACAATATCAAAGTTTAGATTTCAACAGAACTGAAATGAATGAGATGAGTATAGGTCTAAATTCTGCATCTCTAACATCTTTTATAAATGATTGCTCTTAGCAATACATTGGAAGTTTTAAAATAGTACGATCCACATTGAAAATGGCAATTACACCTAAGCCAATAAAGATCGTGTTCGACCGGTGCTACCTGGAAACATCAATGAGAATTAATGATCAAACCTCACAGAGGGTTTTGTGGATTCGTAGCATTTTGCTAATCGACATGCTGATGAAATCAACACGAATGTATGGCTGATGTTCCACCCAAACTCCCGCAATGGAGGATCGCTAGTTGTAAACAATATGGGAAAACACGAAGGAAGGTAATATCGCCTCTTAGTTGTCGTAATATAACGATGGAAGTGCCAAAGTAACTAAGAGCTAGTAAATCAGCAAAATCAAGCTTATCAGTAATCAAGACTGTATTCATGTGGACAGGTTGCTCCTCCTATCCTCCATAGATAGCACAGAGAGTAAGGTGAAAACGCATGCAAATCGCGATAGCCTACCTGGTGTCTAAAATCCTATTGGCAACCTGATCCAATCAGGGACGATTATAGGAAGCAAGTATTAATAAAGCGCAAAAGTTGAAGACAAGTGCATCCATCCAAACAGACGACCCTTAAGAGTCTACTTGATGCCTTTTATTGTGATGCTTTGACGACGAAAAAAACCATGCTTAAACGATGAACTATTTCCTTGATCAACTTGGACTTGGAGGCACCGTATAACTGCTTGGATCAAACGTTACTTAAAAAGATGCTATTTTGAAAACTTACCTCCAAGCTCTCACGCATCAAACTGACGGGATTATTGTCGTGCGATCGCTTGATGTGATCAATAAGAAATTCTTTGGACGGTGATTTGACATGGCACCCGTTCACCACACAATGATAGATCCGTAAGGCATGCGCTGATACATGAGATACCCAAGATTCCAGAGACTTCTCCCTTTTTGAGCAATGAAAACACCTGTAGATCACCTGCTCTCCTCGATGCGCGGAGAGAAGATGAACCCTGAGACAGTGGACATTATTGGTTTGAAAGGGGCAGACGGAGGAATGTGTTGGTACCGGACAGGGATAAAGATACGTCGATCGAGAATCACAAGCAGCAAAGTGGCCTGCTACATGGGAAACAAAGCGGTCTGTAGGCCAATCCAAGCCGCAAAACACACAAGAGAGTGACTCAGAACCGGGATGTGCTTTATCCACATGAGCAACGAAGCACTCGGGATTCCAAGAACCCCTCCACTCGGTTGCGTCACATTGTAAGCAAACAAAACAACCGGTGGCTACCTCGAGGCGATGGATGTTCGAGGATATGTATTCCGCAGCGACACCGGACAAATTCGCGTTACAGGAGGACATTAGGAAATCATTCGAACGAGGTATATTCTAAAACATACAGAGACTTCTGATAAAATGTAGAGAAAAATTTGACGAGTAGTTAACAACAACAAGTACCACGTGCCAAAGAACAAAACATTAAGTTGAAAGGTAGACTGGTTAGCAGAAAAGAATTGGCAAAGTGTTTGAAAGAGGAGGGGCTAGAAAAGGAAGGTTTCATTTACGGTCATCAAACTAATAGTATACTACCCCGACTTTCAGGGTAAACTGATCGTTCAAATTTGAATATAAAGTTAAGACAGCGCGGAAGAATAAAAATGCATGCCCCAACCAGGCAGAAAATGAAAGAAGCATAGAAACGCGGCAATCACATCACTAGAACAGTCCCCAAGTGGAGCAAGTGTGTACACGACTCACACTAAGATCGAATTATTGGCGAGCAAACGACCAATAACATAAGTAAGAAAATTTAAGTCGTGCGCACAAAGACTTGTAATCAGTTTTTAAGTAATATTGTATTTATTTAGTTCAAAATTTGTATTGTAAAAGTAAATTTGTGTAGTTAATTAAATTTATTTTGTTTGATTAAAGATGACGCCGACGCGAGATTCAAAGCTTGCATTATCTAATGGTTATCAGATGCTGCAAAGTCACTTGGCCTCGGAATTAGTATGGAAACTGATCCGATCCCCGTGGTATTTTTTTCCCACTCTAATATTTTTAGTCTTTAAGCTTTAGTAACGGAGCTGTGGAATTCGGCACAGGAACGTTGGATGACATAATACAATATATTATTCAAGAGGATGTACCACATGGTGCTGAAGAAAGAGTGGATACTCTGCTATTAAGCTTCCACTTATATACAACAGGTTACTGTCTCTTGACAGCGCTTGATACAAAGTAATTAGACCTAATTTCTTATTTCTTCTAGGTTTTGGCATTTATGTTTTGACCCAAATAGATATCCAAACGAAAAATTCAAGCTCTTTCGGTAATGGCACATTGCGTTCTTTTACCATTACTGTGACTTGTAATTGAATCAACCTTAATTTCGTTATTAGTCTCTTTTTCATTAGCTTAAGTTTTTTTCCTCTGTTTTACAGCAGTTTATTTTTTGACAAAAGTACAAATTCGTCAAGTATATAGTCCTGGGCCTGGTTGTGTTGGCTAGCTGCAGTGACAACCATGAACTCATGGTAGAATAACTTTTGAAACACTTTTATGTTGTTTGAGCATAACTTTTTGTTATATTTCCGCATTTATTCCATTTCTATGTATGGAGATCACTCACTAACGTGCTGGATCGGTGGCTGGACAATCCACACGTCGAATCATTTTATGGTCCTCCAGATTTTCTCGACCTCAAGCGATTGTTATTTGTTGTTTCACAATGGCTTCGTGTGTTTGCACCAAAATTTCAGCCAATCCGTCGGAAGTATTCAAAATCAAGAGAGTTTTCTCAGAGCCAAATTATCATGAAGGCTAGAGCTTTTATCCAATCAATGGGACAATCATATCAGTTAAGTCTAGCTCAAGCCTTGGAGGAAGTCTGCTCCAAAGCCAACATTGTTTCGGATAGGTTTTACCTCCTAGCTGGACTCTTCAAGGAATCGAATTGTGATATAGGTGCATCGGAAGTTAGTACAGGTAGTAATAAAAAGTTCCGACACCCTGTTCCAAATTTTGTATTGTTTAGAATCACAACTACGAATATCGTTGGGGGAAGGATCTATGTGTCAACTCTCCCCCAGGCATATTGCGGAACAGTTTACCTTGTATGACGCGGTACGAAAAATATCAAAATTACACTAACCTTTTTGTAACAGGATTTGTTTCTGAAGGTTCTGCCATCCGAATGCCTCAATTACGTGCGTCATCGACCAGCTCCGACTGTAGATTCTACCATACGTCAGTTCAATCGCATTTATGGTTTGGTGTTAACCACAGTTATCGAGACCAACCCCTTGAAATCGGGTTTTGCTGCCGATGTTTCTACTCCATCCCTGGCCTCTCTCACTCTCTCTATTGTTCCCTTACCGTTGCAAAACGATCGACGCAAACCTTCTAGCACTGCGCGACTGCAGACTTCAAGCGGTGTTACCCTATGTCAAGATATTGACTTTGTGGCGTCTAGCGACACTTTACTTAGAGCTGAAATGTTGTCGAAGTGGATTTCAATTGCAGCGGTATGTCATATATTATAGGCTTGTGTTACCAAGCCTTGCTCGTATACAATTACATTTGAGCTTAATGATAATCACACACGCTGGTCATAAAAGCAACTTTTATCAAAGATCTACCTAACTTTAATCACTTGCATCGGGCCAAGTCGTCCACACATTTACTTACTTATTGTCACTATTCCCAAAACGACCTGTTTTCTAAAAAAACAATTGTAGGAACTTCGGGCACTGCGAAGCTTCTCTGCATTTACAGCTGTTATGACAGCATTGCAAGGCTACGCCATCAGCAGTTTACATAAAACGTGGCGCTACATGGAAAGGTAACTGTTAGTAATTCATGCGTCGATTTGCTGTAGCATTCGTAATGCCTTGTATTAATCAGTATTAGTGATCTTTATACTTTGATATCGTTAACCTTAGTGTATGTGCACACCTTCTATGGTTTTGCCGTTTAAATTCGCTTGCCCAAAACGTTGAGGACATTTAAATCCGCCTCTCAAATCACTTACAGTACGGGTCCCTTGTGCCTTGCGACATGATGACACATACATCCACGGCGTCACAGTAACTGGTTGCGACAATTCACGATTTGCCAATGATGAGTTTCATATGACTTTCAAGAATAAGTTTTAAGAGTTTGAGCCGCCGTAACGAGTTCTTAACACACGTTCAATCAGTATTGTTTCTGATCAAATACGCTTAAGGGTAAAGTCAAAAGAGCCTTAGTAGTCCAAAGTTTCTACTCCTATTGATGCTCAAACTCCTGTTATGCCATGACCTTAATTCTAGCAACCATGCATTATTCGCAAATTTTGCGCTAGATCTATTTAACTACGTGTCGTGCATCTCATACCTAATTGTGTTTATGCATTTTAGTCAATACCCAGAAAAAAAAGAAATTTTTCACGACTTATCGCAACTTCTTAGCTTGGAAGACAATAAAAAGTATGCCAGAGAACTCCTTGATCACGTAAGTTGCCTTTGACTTTGCATCAGTAGTTCGATTTTTTTTAGTACCACTTTTCACCTAAATACCTTAGCCTTGTAGTTCACCTTGACAAAACGGATGGTTACCACGGCAACATTGATTCTGTTGCTTTTGAAAAGCATTGCTCCAAATGACCTCTTGTGAATTACAATCAAAACGTTTTCAAGACTAATAATAATAAAGCGTTAATGAAATTGCACATTATGATTCGGATTAACTAACTGGTAGTTACTTTTAATGTTCCCTTGGAGAGGAAAAAATTTAGTGACTTCACCAGAATGAATGGTTCCGTGCATCTTTTTAGATGTACTCCAGCTATGAAATCAGTCGCCATCAAGATTCTCATCACTGTATCCTCCCCGGAATATTTCGGCGGAAAGTTAGCACTGATTACTTGTCGGTATGCGTTACCTCTCGTTTTCTTTCTGTACAAACTTTATCGAGTTCTAGTCCCACCCATCTACTTACTCACATTACAACTGGCAAGATTCAACCACTTGCGCACTTTTTTAAACAAATGCTACTACTTTTCTTAGGCTGCGTTAACGCATGACTACACTTACTAGTGCTGATCTGTCACAATACAGTTTTCTGTAGCAATATACAAGGTGCTCCAATAAGTCCGTGCATTTTTTCACAGGAGAAGTTAAATGTCCAAGAGGAATTTTTAATGTCTTCATCTCTACGTGTCACCATCACTAAAACGGGCTGCCATTTCACAAGGAAGCACATGCTTCTATTGAATCCCTTACCTCTAGAAGCTTCAACTTCACTTTTATTTATTTTAACTACGCTCTCCACTTTGTATGAGTACCTAATGTCAAGACAAGGCAATAATCACTCTCTCCTTCGCCTTAGGGTCCAACTTTCATAGCCAGCCTTTGCCTCGTGAGCTTTGAGATCTTGGATTGTTTGGTGAGAGTAGAACTTTAATCTGATCAAATAACTGACCCTGAGTGATTCGGACGAATTCACCCTTGCATATTCAGCTACATTGTTTCACTCAGATAGGTTTCAGCAGTAGCTACTGTCTGACCTTCAGCATATGAGGAATGCTTGGCGTGTTGCTCAGTCTGCAGGGCGCCGCACCCATCGCGCAATTTTCTTGGATGGGTGATGCGTGTCTTAAGAGTGTGTTTTATTGTATCACAAATCAGACATCAAACAATCCAAAATCAGCATTGTTATAATGAAGGTGCGAGAAGTAAAAACAGCATGCTAGTTTCCGAAGTTTGTTTTCATTTGTTGTTAATCCATTTTGCTGAAGCTCCTTCAATCAATAGCTAACGCGAATTTGGTTTTTGTAGGTGTGAGTTGTCTAGTTCAGCTCCCACATTAAGCATTATGTAAAACTTCTCCTGACACCTTAATCCTTGAGTACCAATGGCACTGAGTGGAGGTAATTCACCATGGGGTTATTTTAGGGGATGGAATATCCCTTGCTTTATCACGTTTTTACGATAACTTTTGAGAGTTATCTTGTGCTACGCCAATTTTTCATGTGCTGAGCACTTTCTGACAGGAAGCTTCTGTGCCCTCAAGATCAAAGTTAAATTTGTAGTGTCTACAAGCCCCACTTAGCATCAGGATGAATAGTGTAACTTTAGCAGAGAACACAACAAAGGGTTCGGATAAATTGACACACTCAAGATTTATAGAGCAACTAAAAACGTTCTTACAAGTAAGCAGGATCTATTTTCACTGAGAAGCACAAACCTTGGTCATCTGATACAGCCACAGTCGTCTGTCTAGCACTTCAAGCACAATTCACACCTTTTGATGGAGTGCTTGGCTCTAAAATTCGATTGGAGGAAATCTACTGCTTCAAATTAATCAGATGTCGTTTACGCATCGATAACCCTGAAATTACTAATGATAGCATCTTAATTCCTAAGTTGAAGTATTTATAATGAAGTTGCTCTGGCTCATCGCATATTCATGTCCACTATAGCACAACTTTGCATGTATTCATTCACATTGAATACTGTATAGTTCTGTAAGAGCGGAAGTTTCTGACGTTGTCAATGCAACTGCGACCATACTTTTGCGATGCTTATGGTAGCCAATGGATTTGGTCGTAGAAGCGGAACAATGAAGGAGACGCTTGGGTTTCTTCTGCATGATTCTGTGATCTTGTACTGACGCTTTTTATGCCTACAGCCTCACGAATACACCGTTGTGATGGTCCATGTACTGAGATGCTGCAGTGCTAGCGCGTTTGCAAATGTACACAATTACGGGACTGGGCGCAGTCGCTTGCTTCCTCCATACCATCGCATCTTCAAACTCACTTTTGACCATTACAGTTGAAACGTTCATGATTAGCCACTCGCGCATTATCGCCCCAACGGGTCAGTTAGATATCTCCAACCAGTAAATCTGCGATTGCTTGTCCCGGTGACGCATCTTGTATACGTACCGAAATGTAGTCTTTTGGGAGGTTCGTAGTAGCACCTACTTAGTCAGGATTAGGTAACATGCAATCTGTCTTTTATCTATTTATAAATAACAAATAATACCAACTTCTTGTTATTACACCTGTTGAGGAAGTTTCCTTGAGTAGCCTGAAGACTTTTGAAGGCTCAGCGAGGTTTCGAAGTGCTAACTGCAGGGCAAGATGGCGAATAGAAGACGAATTCTCAGTTACAAAGTCGAAAATGTTGTATCTGACAGAAACTGGATAGACTCATGCATAAACTGATATTTTGCGTTCGCTGGCCTATTCTTTTGTTGGATGTTTGAAGAGCCTTGAAGTAGCTAAGAAGTAATGTATTTGGGTAGATTTGCATTTACAGTGGAAAAGCAGACTTACTCATTATAATTTCGTGGTGGCTCGGAAACAATGAAACTTTGGCTTGGGGAGGTCATGAGGTAGGTTTTGAAGCATGACCGTGGTTAAGGGTAGTGTTCACGTCATCGGAGCTTTTGGATATGGTCAAATGTCAGAATAAGTTTATGAACTGCGTAATTATTAGCGGAGTTACCTTTTACTGATGTTCATGGGTAGCTCACCCAGTTGCTACAACCACGAGGCTGCATAGGACCAGCAAATAGAATTTTACTCCAGCACTCACAGTTACATGCATTTGCCTCATTGGTTGAATGGGCCATTTGATGCTCTATGCAGGTAATATTAAGTATTGTTATCTACCTAGGAATGGTACTCTGTCACAAATTACTTCATTTGCCTTCCCAAGTAGTAAGGGCCTTGTTCTTCATTTTGCCATGAAGCCTCGATTGCTTCCATTGAAACGCCGTAAAGCGTCTGAGTGATGTTTGAGCAACATCAGTGGATCAAGGATAGTCAAATTACTAGTTATTTTTTATGAGTTAGTTTCTTCGGTTTAAACAGTGTCTAAACGTTAAGGAAATATTGCTACTGTCTCCACCTTTTGGGTGGAAGTGCATTATGCAAACTTGTGTTTACAAATTGTAACTGATATTGTGATGTCATGCTGATTCCTCAAATGTCGAATTTTCCTTTTGACATAGGCCTTGCACGGCAATTTTCTATCTGTTTACGTTAGCAAATGATGATCACTTGTTTTGTCATAAAAATATTAGGTTCAAACAATTTAATGGCATAAGGTTGCTTTGGGAGCAGAGTCAGGAAGACGTAAATACCGGTTTTTAGACGTAGT